AGGAGTAAACGGAAGAACAGGGGAAAATGCGGGTGAGGAAAGTACCTCCCACGTGAAGCACCCCAGATGAGGGAGGCATGAGCAAGGAGTTCCTGGCTCATTCACAGGGAGCAAGTGTCTTGTCAGGGAGCAGAACTCTGGGGGGTGAGGCCGAGAGGTGAGCGGGGACCTGGAGCACAAGGAGAACCCTCAGGACGCATCATCCACATAGAGTGTCGTGGGCTCCACTGACTAGGCCAGTCCCCTACTGCTAGTGTCCCTTGGGGTGGCGAGCAGGGGCCTGGGAGGGTCTGCTGCGGGGAAATTCCCAGAACACCCTCCGCCGTAGTTGAGCCCTGTGCATGTGGTGACCTGGAGCCCTCAGGGTGCCCTTGAGTTGTGCCCTAGGAACTGACTCTCCTCAGGGGGTGACAGCCACATGCCACAGACTTCCCACCCAGTGCTGCCCATGAGAGCCCCCGCTTGGGGTGGGGAGGCCGCACTGCTGATTGCAGGCAAGGCCCCAGGGCAGCCGAGAACTCGTAATAATTCAGCAGGCAGCATGGAAATCAAGCTGGCGCTACTTCTGCATAAGGACAACGCATTCAGAGGTTTATGGATTATTTATTCCTTTAATTTCCCCTCAAATACTGCCATAATTCTATATTATTGGATTTTTTAATGAATATTAATTTCTAAAATGAAATTCAGGGTTCATATTTCCTAATGAATGACCAAGGGAGGTAAGGAGCCCGCCTTTCTTTGGCTCTGAAGGCCCTGACTTGGGGACCCAGGTCCTAGAGACTCAGGAGGTGGGGGTCCTGGTGCAGGCTGACCCATGGGGTCTTTAGAGAAAGGAGCCCAGCCCCCAGCCTGCAAGAAGTGGGGCAGGAAGAAGGGGAGGTGAGGGCGGCAGGGATGCCTCCAGGTTGAGTGCGGCCTCAGGAGCAGTTAGTGGGGAAGAGTGCTCAGCCCTGAGGCCTGGGGTGGCTGGTTGGGCTGAGGGCCCAGCTGGGGCGCTCAGGATGAGGAGGGCAGGGAGTGTTCACTGCCTCCTGCACTGGACTGAGCCCTGCCTCTGTGGGTGCCCACCTCTCTGCTCTGAGAGGCTGACCTGCAAGGACCGTGGTGGGCTCCTGGCTCCTGGCTCTCTGGCTGTTCTTGGGTTTGGACCTGGGCATGCCAGTAGCAGGGACTGAGGAGAGGGAGGCACCCCTCCCTGAGGGGCCCCCATCCTGAAGAAGTGTGCTTAGAAAATGCGGGTGAGGAGGGGCTGCCTCAGACAGGAGGACTCCCCTTGGAGAGACGCGGGTCTGAGAACAGCACGGTGGGGAGGCAGCCTGCAGGCTCCAGAAGACACAGGCAAGGTCTGGCCAGCCTGCGGACAGTGTGGACTGAGCAAGTGCAGGGGAGGGACTCGGTGACGCAGGCTCCTCATCAGTGCGCTGCCTTCCCTGGCCTGGAACCACACAGGTCCCTGGAGGCATCTCCTGGCCTGGGGTGACTCCCTTAGTTTCCAGCCTGTGAGGGACGGGGACCAGGCAGCTCTGTGCCCTCCCTGCAGGGTCTCCCTCCCACCCAGCAGCATCCCCAGAAGGATCCATGGAAATGCCTGACTTGACCCCCCAGGAGGGGCTGCCCTGGGAAATGTTAAGAAGTACCCCTTGGCCTCCAAGACATAGGTCTGAGGCTTTAGGGGCTCCAGGCACCAAAGTGGGCTTGGGGCTGCAGGGAGGCAATGTGTGATCCCCGTGCCAGAGGACTGGTGTTCCTGAGGGGCAGGCAGCACCAGGTCATCATGGGGGGCTGCTTGGGGCTATGCTCAGAGCCTCAGGCTCGTGCCAGGCTGCCAGGGCTCGGCCCCAGTGCTGCCACCCTCCAGAGGTGTGACTAGGATGTGTCCTTGAGCCTGTCTGCACCTCAGGGTCCCCACCTCCAAATTGGGGGTGATAATAGTGAGACAAGGTGGTAGCTTGAGCATGGCCTAGCATCAGGTCAGCTCAGTCAAACACATGGTTACACCCGGAGGATGCTCAGGCCCATTCCCGACCCTGCCTGGTCAGTGGGCAACAGAGCTCCTGCTTGTAATTTCAGCACGTGCCTCCTGCAAGTTGGCAGTCAGGCTCCATCCCCTGAGGTGAGATGTTGGTAGGACTGGAGGCTTTTGAGCTCCCTTTCCGCAGCAGCCCAGCCTCCCATCAGGCCTGGGCTTGTTATCCACTGGGCTCCAAAGAGCTCCTCAATTACCTGTCTTCCAAACCAGTGCTACTGAAAGCCAGGGCCTGGGCACATCACGTGGGGGCACTTGTCTAAATGCAGACTGATTCTGGGCTGGGGAAGCGGGTCCTCAGATATCACATTTCTACAGAGGTCTACAGATGTTAAGTGAGATCTCACTGTCGTATTGATTTGCCTTTCCCTGCTGATTAGTGATGTGGAACATCTTTTCATGTGCCTCTTGGCCATCTGTGTGTCTTTGGAAAAATGTCTACTCAGGTCCTCTGCCCATTTTTAAATCAGATTGTGGTGGTGGTGGTGTTATTGAGTTTCTTTATATATTTGGAATGTTAACCCCTTACCTATCACATGGTTTGCAAATATTTCCTCCCACTCTCTAGGTGGCCTTTTTGTTTTGTTGATGGTTTCTCTGCTGAGCAGAAAGAAGCTGCTTAGTTTGATGTGCCCCTTGTTGATTTTTGCTTTTGTTGCCCGAGTTTTTGGTGTCATAACTGAAAACTCATTGCCAAGACCAATGTCAAGGAGCTTTTCCCCCATGTTGTCTTCTAGGAGTTTTATGGTTTTAGGTCTTACATTAAAGTCATTAATCCATTTCAAGTTAGTTTTTGTGAGTGGTGTATGATACAGATCTAGTTTCAGAAGTTGGTGCTGTCAGTGTTCTGGACTTTGGCCATTGTAACATGTGTAGTTGTGTGTCATTTTAAGTTGCATTTCCGCTGTGACGTGAGGAGGAGCATCTTTTTGTATGCTTAGTTGCCATCTGTTTATCTTCTTTGACGAAGTGTATGTTTAGGTCTCTGGCCCACTTATTAACTGGGTTGTTTATTTTCTTGTTGAGTTTTAGGAGTTATTTGTGTATTTTGGTGAACAGTCCTGTATCAGATGTGACTTACCTTTTCAATCACTTGACAGTGTCTTTCACAGAAGTTTTAAAATTTGATCAAGTCGTCTGATTTCTTTCCTAAATTGTATGTCTAGTGTCATATCTAAAAGTCATCCAGGTTTTCTCCTAAGTTATCTCCTAGAAGTTTTAAGAGTTTTGCATTTTATAGTGAGGTCTATGATCCATTTTGAGTTCCTTTTTTGTGAAGTGTAAGAGGTCTGTGTCCAGATTCAGTCCTTTGCATGTGAATGTCCAGTTGTCCCAGCACCACTTGTTGGAAAACTGTCTTTGTTCCATTATGTTACTTGTGTTCCTGTATCAGACATTGGTTAGCCATATCACGTGGATCAGTTTCTGGGCTTTGGACTCTGTTCAGTTGGTCTGGTTGTTCTTTCACCAGTACCACCCTGTCTCAGTGCTGTAGCTTGAAGTCAGGTGTCATCAGTCCTCCAATTTTATTTTCCTCTAATATCAGATGATTTTTTATCTTTGCCTCTCCATATAATCTTTACAATCAGTTTGTTAACATCCACACAATAAGTTGCTGGGATTTTCACTGAGATTGCATGACTCTCCGGATCAATGTGGGAAGAACCAACATGTTAACTATGTCGAGTCTCCCTGTTTGTAACATGGACTCCCTCTCCTTTTATTTAGTTCTTTGAGTTCATCCATCAGAGTTTATGGTTTTCCTCACATAGATCTTGTCATATGCTGTTAGATTTATACCTAAGTATTCCATTTTGGGGTTGCTAATGTAAATTACATTGTGTTTCAAGTTCTACTTGCTAAAAGTCAATCATTTCCCTAAAAAAAGTGCTGGCAAAGGCAGTCACGTAGGTGTGTATCCGAAATGTGAGGGTCGGTTTGACTGAGGAGACACATGGTCTTCTCATCCCAAGTCCCAGCCACTTGTCAAGGGCTCTGGACACATCCACACGGTCAACACACCCCTAATTAGTCACCAGCCACTGACCTGCCCTCCTGACCAGAACTCCTAGGCTCTTCTCCCAGCAGGACCCCAACTCCAGGTGTGCTGGCCCTGGCTCTCTCCATCCCTCTTCCCCTTCCTTCCCCCTTCCCAGGTCTACTCCAGGCCCTCTAGCCACCCCATTGCTGTTCTCTCCCCTGAGGTCTTTTGTCCTTTGTGTCTTCCCCATGGGGTGCCATCCAGTGTCATAGGTGAAAGATGCCACCAGTCAAAGGACTGGCAAGATGCAGAGGAAGAGGGAGGGAGAGGGGAGACAGGGAGGCAGTGAGGAGAGGGGCATGGGGTGGAGAGGGGCCCAAAGTCCCCGTCAGAGGGGCGCACACTTACTGGCAGAAGCAAGTGGTCCTTGGGCTCCCCCAGGCTGAGTGGGGGCACTGCAGGAGAGGATCCTAATCCCCTCCCAGGGAAGAGAAGCCAGTTACCATGATATTACCCATCATAGTACCTTTCTTAAAAGAGTGTCCTTGATTATCTCAGGAAATGACCCATTTTTTCCCTTTTATTGAAGTTTAGTTTACAAATAGTAAGTACAAAGCCCACTAGGTCTCCACAAAGCCACTACACCTGGGTAACCTGCTCTTAGGAGCCTTGCCAGAGAGCAGAGGACCCCACTCCCCGCCTCAGAACTAGCTCTCCTCTGAAATCCAGCAGATAGCAACTGCAGCCCGAGAGATGCCTATTAAAAGTGTCTGGCAAATATAAGAACAGCAATGGATGAGGACCCCCGAGGACCCCTCGCAGACCTGTGGCTCTGGGGTGGAAGGGTCCCCGGACGGGTGCCCGGGGTTCAACTCCAGTTCAGGCCCCCCTCGGACTGCCTCCGTCGCCCCTGAACTGATAGGATGTTGGCTCTGTTTGCTCTGCCCCACATCCTTTCATTCACAAGGACTCGTCCACCAGGAAAGCCAATTAAAAACCAACAAGATCAAAGGCATTTACTGTTACCATGCAAACATTTCAAACAGCACTGGGAATGAGCAGTTTCAGTGCTACTCCCATTAAAATTAAACAAATTCTTGACACTCGGCTTCCATTTCCTCTGTTGGATTTTATGTTGTCTCCATGGGAACACACAGCCCTTGTGCTGAATGCTGCTCCTCCCAGGGTGGTGTCCTTTGGGTGCATCTGCCTGCTTCCCTCGCCTGTTTTGGTAGCTGGGCTGTGATGGACGGGACTGATGTCTAGGGCAGCCTCATCAGCAGGCAGGCTTTGTGGTAGGCGAGCAGAAGCTTTGCCTCAGGGACATCTGCCCTGAATCCCTGGGGACAGAATGATGTGTTCGTGGCCCACGGTGCATACTTTGCATCTTTGCAGAGACCAGGAACACATTTCAGCAGCTGCCTCCAGGGGCTCAGGTCCTGTGCCGGCTCTCACTCAACCAGCACACAAAGCCCTGAATTCAGTGGACAGGGGTGAGCAGTTTGTGATCAACACACCGGAAGGCAAACCCCAGCGACTCACTCCATGCTTGAGCAGAGCAGGTGCCCAGCTAATGCCTCTGACATAAATTCCATACTCCACTTGCCTTCAAAGGTAGACATTGGGATCAGGAGAGGGGCACGGCAGATGGGTTGAGAACTGGCTGACTGGGGGCCCTGGTGGGAGAGCACGCTCAGCCTGCAGCACAGTGGAGGCCCTGCCGGTCACCCTAGGGATTGGGCTGGGAAGTTGGTGCCTGTAGTCATGAGAGGCTCAGGCGAGGGGAGCTTGGGCAACGTCATGGCCAAGGGCGTGAGACGGGCATGAGCCACTCATCTGGTCTTGCAGGTCGCTGCTCGGTGGGTGGTGCTTTGCTGAATGTGCTCGCAGCCTGGAGAGCCGAGCCTCTGGGCCCTCCTTCCCTGCGAGCTGTCTCTGTCCCCCATGCTTGGCTGGGGAAACACTGGCCCCAGGCCCCAGGGGACTGCCCACAGGAACTGGGATGCTGTGTCCTTAATTGCTGCAATTCAGGGGCTGTGTGTAGTCGTCAAGGGCAATGTTGACTGTCCACCATTTCACCCTGTGTCCTGACTTTAGGATGTCACTTCTGAAACATTGAACTCACCTATTCCACTAACACGCGTAATGTTTTTTTTAAGAGACCTGCTGCCCTAGGAAACCCTCTGTAGTCCTGGGTTCAGAACTGGAGCCTCAGGCCAAGGCAGGAGAAAGAACTTCTTGGCAGGAGCAATGGGTGCATTTACAGAGGAACTTGTGGTAACTGTGTGTGTAAGGGAGGAAAATGTATGCTAGGGACACGGAGCGAGCACTGTGTGCCAGCACTGCCCCAATCACATCCACACGGGAGCCCGCAGTGAGATAAGGAGGCGGAGACCTGGGAGCAGCGTCCCCACTGCCCGTAGCTGTAGACCCAGCAGTCTGCTCCAGAATCCGGCCCCCCGCACACCCTGCTGTAGGGGCAGACCTCCAGGTTGTTACCTACAGGGTGACCTACAACTGCCAGCCACACCGATGGTCACTTGGACCTGACAGGACAGCATCTTCTCCCACAAGGAGGAAGAGGGGATGGTCCCTGGAGGGGTTCACTTTGCTTACGAAGCAGTCTCCTTAGCCAGGCCCTTCTTCCCAATCTACCTCTGGCACCCCGGGCTGGCTGAGGGCCACTTAGGGGCCCCTAGAGGCACAGATACCCCCTCTCCAGCTGTTTCCATTGGGTGGCCTGCCCCTTCTCACGCTGGTCTCTAGTGCTTTACTGCCTCAGCACACCCCAGTTTTTATTGCTCACGGTTCAGGAGGTGTCTGAGTCAGGTCTTATAGCATTTGTTGAGGATTTTTCCATCAGTATTCATAAGGGTTTTGGTCTATACTTTTTCCTCCCAGCTTTATTGAGATATAATTGACATGTAACATTGTGTAGGTTTCTGGTGTTCAGTGTGATGATCTAACACACATATATACTGCGAAATCATCACCACAGTAAGACTGGCTTACACATCCTTCATCCCATGTAATTACCATTTTGTTGTTCTTATGGTGAGAACATTAAAGATGAACTCATGGCAGCTTCAGGTACGTGATGCGGTGCTCTTCTGACATCCCTGAACTTATACTCATTTTATAACTGAAAGTTTGTACTATTTGGTCCATGTCTTCCCACCTGACAACAACCACCACTCTCCTCTCTGTGAGTTTGATGTTTAAGATTTCACGCAGAGGTGAGGTCATGTGGTGTTTGTCTGAGAAATGTCCAGTGTTTCCTTACTAATTTATTATGTGGATAATCTGTCCATTGTGGAAAGTGCTGTATTGAATTCCCCTACTATTGTTTCTCTTACTCCCTTCAGATCTGTGAATATTTGCTTAATATGATTGGGTGCTGTGGTGCAGGGTGCATGTATTTTTGTAATTATCTCATCATCTTGGTGAATTGACTCCTTTATTATTATTTCATGATCTTGTTTTTTTCTCGTTACTCTGACTTAAGTCTGTCTGGGCCAATGTAAATACTGCTACTACCCTTGCCCTCCTATCGTTTCTGTTCATGTAGAGTATCTTTTTCCATCCCTTCAGTGTAATCTATGTGTGTCCCTGAGGCTGAAGTGAGTCTCCTGTAGGCAGCATTGTGGCATCTTGTTTTTTACCCAAATAGCCACTCTGTGCCTTTTGACTGGAGAATTTAATCCATTTACTTTTAACAGAGTTATGATAGGTAAGGGATTACTATTGCCATCTTGTTTATTGTTTTCTGGCTGTTTTGAAGTTCCTTTGTTTCTTTTATCTCTCTTGCTCTCTTCTCTTTCTTTGTGAATTGCTATTTCCTGTAATGGTATATGTTGATTCCCTTCTCTTTACTGCATGTGTATCACTGTAGGTTTTTGTTTGTGGTTATCCTAATTCTTACTAGATCCATCTTACAGATATAGAGGCTGTTTTAAACTGGTAACATTGATTGGATACAAAACTCTTATCTTTTAACTCCTTCCATACCTCCACCCGTGCCACATTTTATGTTTTGATGTCATACTTTATATCGGCATCTGTTAATTCATTATTGTGGCTACAGCTGTTTTCAATACTTCCATCCATTGGCCTTTATACTAGAGGTGACTGGTGTGCACAGACCACCACATTAGAGCACTGTCTATGCTTACCTTTTATCTTTCATATGTTTTCATGTAACTAGTTAGCATCCTTTTGTTTTGTCTGATGTGTTCCTTTCAGCAGCCACAGTGCTGTGGTGGCAGGGGTCTGTTACAGATACGTAGATAGTCGTGGGGCTAGGGTAGGCATCAAGGGCCAGGGACAGCTGCCTGTGCCTTGGAGCTGCAGGGGCGCCAGCTGTCAGCATGCTCTCCCATGGCTGCACACTGTCCACTGGGAACACTCACAGCAGTGGAGGTCAGTGAGGGGCATCAGGTTGGCAGTGTGTGCAGTGCACAGGTGCAGAGGCTAGTCACGGGCATCAGCCTCAGGGGTCTTGGCTGGTGTCCTGCACAGGTGCAGCCCGAGGCCTGGGTGGTGTGGTGCTGTTTGGGGGTGGAGGGGAGGAATGGGGAGGGGCTCAGGCAGCTAGTGTCACAAATGCAAATACCTGTGTAGAAAGCTGATGAAATTTGTGAGGGAGCTGTGCTGGCTGTTAGTGCCTTCTTCGGTGGCGAATGTTGCCGGGGCCACGTGACAGCAGGTTCCTGGGCACCACAGTCACCTTTTAAAATGCAGTAGTGTTCACGAGTGCAGCTATCTGGTCCTGGCTGCCCTCTTTTCAGAGGTTTTCATTACTGGTACAATCTCTCCCCTTGTTACAGGTCTGACCAGATTTTCTGTCTCTTTCTGAGTCAGTGGTGGACGTCTGTGTGTCCTAGGAAGCTGTCCAGTTCACAGGCATAGCAGGTTGGTGTATGCTGTTGATTGCCCTCTCTAATCCATTCACCTCTGTAAGGTAAACAGTGGTGTCTGCACCTTCCTTCCTGGTGTCGAGGGTTGATTTTTTCTGTGCCCAGTGTCCCTTAGTCCACTGCAGTCACTATTCTTTTTGATGTTTGAACTAACCCATCTCTGTCCAATGAGAGGCCCACCATGCCAATCCGTGTCCTGATGGCAGAATCCCCCGAGCCCTGTGTAGCTGCTGTGCTCTAGACCTTGGCAAGACCCCTGCTTCTCACACACGTTTCCTGCCCTGCCCTGGATCAGTCCTTCAAATGGGTCAGCAACTTTCCAGACCCAGAGTTTGTGTGTATGTAATGCACCCCTGGAGAGCTTGCCCAGTGTCCCTTTGTCTTCCTGTTGATATTGAGTCTTTAGGTCTTGGATTAAATGTCACTTCCTCAGGGACACCCTCACTACACCTTCAGATTTGTCAAATTCTCATTTCAGTACTTTATCTTGGTGGCATTTATCCTAAGTGCCTGTCAGGTAGTTATTTAAAGTCCAGACTTGCTCATATGAACAATCAGCTGGGTTTGGGCCTTTCAGTGCTGCTGTGTGACACTGGATGAGGACTTCTGTTAAGAAGCCGCAGAGCATGTGATAAAGAGATGGTGGTCCTGGTGACAGTGTGAGCCCCAGCTGTGCTGGCCCTGTACTCACATGGCCTTTCCGAGTGTGCAAGCAAAGATGAAAGAGAAAGTGGAGCCCTGTTTGCTCAAGCCAGCAAGAATCAGGTTTAAGCCACTTCAGCCAAGAATCTGAGCTTATAAAATTATCTTCTCCAAGCCTTTTAGGGTTTTTGTCCCTGCCACGTGTTACCATGACAACCACACATATTGTAATGAGCAAGTTCCCTGAATAAAGGAGGTGGATGTGGCTTATGGTATTTGTCTCTCCTGGGCTTAGTTTCTCCAGCCATTACAGACATCCAGATGTTTCAAAGATCCCAAATGACCAGATGTTAACGTTAAAAAGGATGGCCTATCTGAGGGGAATTAAAACCCTATATTCACATGGAGCAGTGCAGGGAGAGCCAGATAGGTGTGTCTACACTGACCTGGGACATGTTGCTAGTTCATTCAGTGTGTACTGTGTCTAGCCCAGGAAGTCTTTCCAATTTCCTGGTGTGTCTACAGTGACACAGATGTCTGATTTCCCAGGCTTGCCCACCTGAGCTGGGATATCAGTGATGACCAGATGAGTCTACTCTGCCCCAGAGTGTCTCCCTTATACCCCAGGTGTGTCTGCTTTGATGTGGGTGCTCTCCCTAATTCCACAGGTGTGTCTACATTCACCTGGGATGTTTCAGTAATTCCCCATACGTGTACACTGACCTAGAGCATGTTCCCAAGTCTCTGGTTTCTCTACCCTGATCTCATAGAGACATCACAGATCAGAACAGACATACCCAGAGAACTAGGGAGACATCTCAGAGATTAGGGAGACCTCACTGGTCAAGGCAGATTACCTGGGGAAAGAGAGAGTCATCACTGAACAACAGACACACTTTGGTAATTAGGGAGACTCCTCAGGTGAGATTAGATACATCTGGGAATAAGACATCTCCAGTTAGTGTCAGAACATCTGTGAAATTATGTCCACATTCTCAGTGGACACATCTGAGAAATAAGGGATACATCCTAGGTTATGGTAGACAAGCCTGAAGAACTAAGAGACATCTAAGGTTAGTGCAGACGAACCTGGAGAATGAGACACCCTAAGTCAGAGAAGATACTCCTAGGGAGCCAGGGAGACCTCTTTGGTCAGAGCAGAAACACCTAGGGCAACAGGGTCATGCTGATCATGTTAGACTCACCTTAGAATCAGAGAAACACTCCTGGTCATGTTAGGCAATCCATGGTCCCCAAGGAAATATCCCACATTAGGGAGGACACTTCTGATGAAATAGGGAGACCTCCCAGGTCAAAACAAACACGCCTGGGGAAGTAGGAACCCAGGTTAGGGGAGAAGCATCTGGGGAAGTAGGGGGACTTCAGAGATGAGAGTAGACAAATCTGAGACACTAAGTTCCCCACAGGCCTTGGTGGGAAGGTGCAGGAAGCCTCCTGGCTGCAGCTGAGATGCAAGGAGGGCTGTCTGAGACCCAGGCTGGTCTTGCTGCGACCATTGCCCCAGCTCACCTCCCTTCTACTAGGGCATGGCACCCCCAGTTTTCTGGCCAGGGGCATGAAGCTCCTTCAGGGAGAAGGGCTCTGTCTCTTCCCACAGCAGCGGGACCTCCTTGTCTGCAGGCACCTTGCCCCAGGCTGCTTTGCCTCCTCAGCAGGCTTCATGGAGGACGGCAGGGTCAGCACCAGACATGTGGTCAGTGCAGGGCCAAGTGAGCTGGGAAACACTGCAGGCTCAGTGTGCACAGGGTAACAGAGACACATCCCTGGCTGATGTGGACTCACTTAGGGTTAGCATAAATAAAACGGGAAGAAGGAAGTCAACCAGGTCAGTGTAGACACAGCAGAGGCATTACTGAGACATCCCAGGCCAGTACAGACACAACAGGTGTACTAAGGAAATGGCCCAGGAAGTGCAGACATAAGGGAACTATGGAGAAACCCGAGGTAAATGTTCACACACTAGGGGGCAAAGGAGACGTCTTTGGTCAGCGCAGACATGTGGGAACTAGGAGACATCTTGATCAGTGTAAACCTCCATCTGCAGTGTAGACACACTAGGAGAACTGGGGTCAGTGCTAAAAACTAGGGGACTAGAGTGATCTCAGGATGGTAGACACACGAAGGGATCTAGGAAGAAACATCAGAGTAGTAGACATACCATAATACTAAGGAAACATCTCAGGTCAGTGTTGACGCACTAGCTAACTAAGGGGACAACTGAGGCTGGTGTAGACACACCAGTGACCAAGGAAACTTCCTAGGTCAGTGGAGACACCTCAGGTCAGTGTAGACATACCAGGAAACTAGCCAGATACACCAGGCAGTGTAGAAACTGCAGACAACTATGTAGACATCCATAGTAGTGTAGATCCATTCAAGGTGCGTGGAGACCCAGTAGATGAATTAGGGATCAGCATAGATGCTACAGGATATTAAGAGACACCTTGAGTCAGTGTAGACACTGTAGGGGAAGTAGGGAGATATCTCAGGTGGCCTGTGCTGTGAGATGTGCGACATGGACTGTCCCACTCTGGGCAATCAATGCATTTAAGTCACAGAAGATGAATGAAGATACCAGCATGCCTAGAGGTATCCTGAGGATGTGGAGGAATCAAAAACAAAAGCCATTCGAGGCGGGGAGAAATTAATTTGACATGTTACCACACACAGCTAGGAGGACTCATTAAAGCTGAGTGAGAATCAAAGATGACCCACCAGGAGGGAATAAAGAACCTAATGGAAAATGGGACGCACAGGGTCGTGCCACACTGACACCAGCTGTAAGTGACACACTGCAGCTGGCAGGGAGGGGGCCAGGGACGATGGACAGCCACGAGGGAAGCAACTCCTGGTGGAGTAAGTCTAGGCCACTCCCAGACTGTGCCACTCCCCGACTCAGTTCCCACGTGTTGGTCACAAACCATCCAAAAGTGTGGCCGCCTCAAGCATCACGACGCATTATCTGCCACACGCTGTGGTCAGGGTTCAGGTGGCCCCAGTGCTGGCTGTTCTGCAACCCATGGCCTTGGCTGCGGTGCTGGAGGCTGGGCTGAGCTGGGAGGTTCAGGAAGGTTTCTGCACCTGCCACACTGTCCTCAGTACCACAGAGGACAGCTCCAGTGACCCACTGCCAAGGTCCATCCACTTCCATGGGGAGAACCGGGGAGAAGCACCCATCAAGTGAGTGAAGGCTATCAGGTGTGGCTCCCGTCTTACTGAGGGGCGGTTCTGACCCACGGAGCTTGGGGCTGTTTCTCCCTGACTTTAGGCCGCCTGGACCTCCAGTGGTGGAACCATCTGACCTTGGGGGACTTCAATTAACCTTATCAAATCTCCAGGCTCCCTCCCTCTGCAACTCTTTTTGATCTCAGCTGGGAGCAAAGGAGACTTGAGACATTCTGAGAAATACAGTGATTCGCTAATTTCCGAGAAGTAGCAGAAAAACTCCGGTCTAGGGAATTTAGGAAGCTGGCTGCGGGCTCCATCTACTGCTGGACGCTTACTGTGCATCTGACCAAGTGGCAGTTTATTCTGGGTGTGACTGGGCCCACAGCTCTGTCACGGATGCTCCTGGCTCCTCCCACCCTCTCCCGAACACCCGGCACTGCTCCCCCTCCTCCGGCCCAGTTCCCCTCTCCCACTGCTCCGCTCCCGCCCTGATCTCCCTCCTCCTGCCCTGCTCCGCCCCAGCCCTGCTCCCCATCCTCCTGCCCTGCTCCGCCCCCCTCCCTGCCCCCCTCCCTCTGCCTTGCTCCCCCGCCCTGACCTCCCTCCCCCTGCCCTGCTCCGCCCCCGCCCTGATCTCCCTCCTCCGGCCCTGCTCCGCCCCCGCCCTGATCTCCCTTCCCCTGCCCTGCTCCGCCCCCGCCCTGATCTCCCTCCTCCGGCCCTGCTCTCCCTCCTCCAGCCTTGCTCCCCCCTCTGAACCCCACTCCTGCTCCCCTCCTCCTCGGCCCTGAC